GCGAGTGTATTTCATTTAGTAAGGGACTTGTGCGAGGCCATACAATTAGTAAGCCAAAGGCCCGTGATTAGAACCTCCACCTTCATTAATCCTTCAGGCAAAGCCACATTGCTTTATGGTGATCCCTTTTGAAAAGATGTGTTATATTTTTTCGTTATTTCTAGGCTCTTTTGCATAGAACCCCCCTTTTGCACTATATTTCTAATTATTAACTCTTATTTTTCTGGTCACATTTTCAAGTATAAGTGTAAGTGCAAAGCCCAGGAAGAATTTTTACTGTCAGATAAAGTCTTAATATTCAGGAAGCAGAGCTTTAAACTGTTCTGTTGTCACCTGAAAAATAAAAGCCAGCAGCTACATTTGTGAGCTCTAATTTGGAGCCTTACGCATGCTTCCTTCCATAGCTGCTTTGTAGCACCAGTTCTTAAATGACTATCTAGAATCGATCTTTAAAGTGATCCTACCGACCCTTTGTCAAAAAAAAAAAAAAAAGTGCTTTGAGCACTTTTCTTCCGGTGGTGGTAAGATTGCACATTCACTGACTTGGTTCTTTCTCCCATCCCTGTATATTTGGCTAGCTTGGTTCAGTTCGAGTAGGGGCGGTAGTGGGGTCACTTTTGTAAAGGAACATTTTTCTTCTATGTAGCGCTAACTAGCTTCACAAAAATCAAACTCAGAAATTTACTGTAACTTGTCCCAAGTTCTTCTACACTAAAAGCTGACATTCCTGCTAATGCTTTTTCCACTCACTTGAAGAGAGTTCAGGCTGCAGCATTTTTCAGACCATAAACTGTGGTCCCTGCTTATGAAAATGGCTGCTCGTGATCCTGACCTATTTTCCTAGAGGAGCTCACAGACTTTAACGAGTATGGGGAAGAGGTGGAGGGACTGGTGAAAAACACAAGATTGGAAGAAGAGGAAAGGTGGGTGATGAGGCAAAAAAGATTGATGACATCGTCTCCCCTCACAATATGAGCACTGTGCAGAGTTAATATTTTATGGAATGTTCTTTCACTGATACTGACCCACGGACACTATAGACTCAAAAATATTGAATGAAAGGTAGCAAAGTTATCCTCTTAGGACCTTCCTACTCTTTCCTATTACCTGTGCTCTTCTAAAATGTTTGACTTTAGAAAGATAAATTAATTGGACTTTTTTGTATGTGGAGGGATTATGATGATAGTAGCAGAGGTTTCCAGACATGATTGCTAACAGGAAAACTAGAAGTTGAAAGAAACCCTAATCCTTTGCATCAGATCATCACTCCAAGGTACTCATCTTTAGTGCAGTGTTAGAATTCTCCCCAAGCATAAGTGACACCCAAGAAGGGAGGTTTGCAGACATGTTCTTTAGAGAACTATGCTTCTATGTGAATAAGATAACACCCTTTGCTATTAAATCTATTATTCTGTGAAATGTATCATTGTAACTCTTTTTCCTTCTCTACACTGTATGGAAGGAAGAAATCCTGTGGCGTAGGGCCTGAAGCTTGGTTTATTTTTGAAATTATTTTTGATTACCCTGATTTTGATTTGCCTGCTTTTCTGAAGTGCTTGACTTTGCTAGGCCTGACTACAAAAGCGCTTCTGTTGTTTAGATTTTTGAGACCGAAAGGAACATAACTATATAACTTTAGACAAAAATTCTATGATTTTGATCAAATAATTATTCTGTAATATATTTCTAGTTTGGTTACCAAAGTCTGAATAATATATATCTTGATCATTTAAAGTAGACTTTTACATTTTTCTAGTTAGGGAAAAGTCCCCAAAGCTAAATAATTTATGTAATAATGTTCTAGAAAATTTGGTCTTAATGGGCATTTCCTATATGAACCTTCAAGGAAATAGCCTCATCTGAAATGGTTTTTTTTTTTTCTTCTTCTTTTTTCTCTCAGGGTTGTTATTTAATGCTTCTGTAGTGATAAATGGGACTTATCAAACAAATCTAACCTCACTCTTGTTAAATATTTTTAGAAGTAATTTATTTTTAGAAGTAATTTACTTGTGTTTTCATAAATGTTACTCTGAAAACAATAATATTTAGAAAATGTTACACAAATTTAATTGTGAACCTTTTGAGCAAGTAATTTTGCATTTCTATTATCTAAAGAAGGCTGGGACTGTAGGAAATGGATGACATGTTTTTTTTATAGTGCAATAAAATGATTAGGGCAGCTCTTTCTAGATTTAGATAAGACAGATTAGGATTTTAAAAATCTAAGATGTAACCTAAGAATCCATATTAGCATGGAGAAAATTGAGACCCAGGAAGATTTAGACTAGATTAATTTCAGTGGATTATGTGTGGCATACTATATTCAGAAAGCCATGATCTTTAAAATCAAACAAGTTTGATATCAGTTATTAGCTTGGATAAGTTATTCAACTTCTCTATCATTCAGCTCATTTGCAAAACAGAGCTTTAAGGGTTTGGGGGGCATGTCTTCTGAACCAGGCACCTTATACATGAATATAGGCATGTTGTAAAAGTTAGTTACTTTATTCTAATTCCTTATTCCTAATTGCTCTTAAAGAAAGCCTTTTAGCAGAAGATCAGGAATGGGGCTAAAGGATGAATAATTAGACAAAAATATTGGTTCTAGCAACCATACTGGACAGAAGATCTTCTGTTTAGTAGTGCTGGATGCTGTGGAAAATACATAAACCTTTTGTGTGGTATCATTATACGTTTTGGAATATTATTCTACATATGTGCTATCAGTTCTTCACCCCCTTTGGAAATCCTTAACTCAGAATGAATTGCTTTAGTAGGGAAATACTGCAAATTAGTGAAGCGCAGGTACCCTGTGATTTTAAAGTTTTCCCTATAAACCTTGTCCTTTCTCTTCAAACAGGTGGTTCCATCAAGGTCCTAATCCCTACAACGGAGCACAGGACTGGCTTTACTCGGGCAGCTACTGGGACAGAAACTACTGTAATTTGCCTGACATTTACTAAAATGCAGACAAGTCAGGGCTTTTGGCTAATCTACAAATAACTCTTAAATATGTTTTTAAATTTTTTTCCTTATTTCTACTCATCTTTTAAAGAAAGAAAAAACCCACTGATAACTTGCATTTCACCCAACAAAAGTAGGGCATAAGGTGGTATTGGTGATGAGTCTTATGGAAAATGGGTAATTTTGCTATCCAAATACTTATTTGAAATACTATTTTATAGAGAAGAGAAACTGCTAGAGAACTGGAAAAGATGCTTTCTATGGTTGCTGTTGCCATATTTACTGAAGGTTTATACCTAAATGTAACTTTAGCTTTATGAAATTATATAGTAATCCCAAATCAAGTTATTTTGAATATTTTATGCTGTCAGGCTTGAATGTTTTAGATGTAGCTTTGAAATGTTTAGAATTCTCCTATACAATGTTTATGTGCTCAAATGCAGAGAAGGTTATGTCATTTTGTAGAGTCTACATCCATAAGATGGCTTTTCTTCTAACTAATTGCTCAATTTTACCCCTTCCCACCTCCAAAACGAAAAAATGCCTGAATATTCAGAACAGATATTCCTGATTTGAAAATTCTAAAGAATTAAGCAAATGATATACCTTTTCAGTTTATATTAGTGCTCTGAATTGACTTTTACAATTCTGTAATCAGTGTCATTAGAATTTAAGAGGTGTTTAATTGTACATGTTTGAATTGAAAATATGTATGAAAACGTAGCAATACACAAAAATGCCCTAGAAATAGATTTTAATCACCATCATTACATAATGACAGACCTTTTTAAATGCTTCAACTTCCAGTGGCAAGTGCCACCAGAGAAATTAAGTTGCACTTACGTATGTATTATAAATATCAAACTATATAACAGGAGGTCTTATGCATTTCAAGTTTGCAAAGCACCTGTGTACTTAAAGTATGTATGGAGACCTACTGTACAGTAGCTTTGCCCCATTAATTGGGGTACATTAATCTTATATTTATCCACTCAACCCCAGCCTCAGATATTACTCCCAGGGGCCTTAGATAGCTGCCAGTAAATTATTTTAATTGCTGTCTTGAAGTTCACAAGTGTTATAATGAAATAATCTACCTGATTCTAAATAAAGGCTTTAGAATGTTGGAAAAAAGTGTGTGTTTTTTTTTTTAAAGATTTTATTGGGGAATTGGAGGAGGGGAACAGCACTGGGGAATCAGGGGAAGGGGAACAGACAAGTTGCTGTCCTTTTTGTTCTTCAGTCTAGTTGTGGAGGACGTTTCACTGGCCCATGTTGGTATTATCATTGTGCTCTTCCCAGGTGAGGCAGATCGGTCGCCGGCCTCTGAAAGGCCACTCACGGTGGCTCTTGGCAGCTCACACCGGCTGCTGGCCGCTCATGCTGGCTGTCGGCCACACACGGTAGCTTATGGCAGCCCACTGCAGCAGGGGCTGCAGCCTATGCCATTGCCGGCAGACTCATGGCAGCCCAGCTCCAGGTTGAGCTGTTGTTGTTCACCATCTTAGCTGTAGAGGGTAGTGTCACTCACTGACTCTCATGTGGGATCCGAACCCAGGCCCTGCTGCTCAGAGCTGGTGTCCCAAGCCAGCTCTTAACCAATGCACCACTTGGTCGGCCCTGTGATTTCTTTTAAACTTTCAAATGTACTAAAGTTGCCACTTCATGCTATCCTAAATTATCAAGACTGTCCTTACAAAGAAGTCCTTGTGGTGCCACAGTCCCCAGGGCCAAAGAGATACCAGCTGCCTGGCCTGCACAGTGGTAAGTAAGCAGTTGGTACTAGTAAGTATTCTCTGGGGAAATGCATATGGTATTATAGCCAGGTGCTGCTCTTCATTGGGTGTGAATGCCAAATACAGAATTATCAAGTAGAAATACCTGGCGAGAAAAGCTAGAGTGGGGATGGTTATTTTTTTACAGTGTGTTACAAGAGCTGGAAAATGCCATTGTCATGAGTCTGGAAAGATTTAAAGGCTTTTTGTGTTTGGTTGTTTGTATACCTCCTAAATTACAAAATCAGCAAGAATGCAAGATTTTATGCTTGCATGAAGTTTATTGATACATTACACTTAGTGGCAGACTCCACCTTGAACGTTGATTCAAACAGCCTCATTTTCGGCATCTGTTGAGAATAATGTAAGCAGCAAATTGTTTAAATTTAATCATGAAAGGAAACATGTGAAATGAGTAGATCAGAAATGCAAAGTCTCCCCTCCTGCTCTCTGGCACTAAGGCCTTAACTAATCAGTTAGTGTATTTGCACTAACACATCCTAGCATTTCCTGCTGAAAACAGCCATTTTGACAATTTCACTAAAAGTCTAAAAGGGATAAGTAAATGCACATGGCCTTAAACTAGTTTGATAACTAAGAGTTGTCTCCATAAACATAGTAACTTGAACCTGTCTGTAAATGAAATCTAGCTTTTGTCCATCAGAAGTTCAGCTTGAAATCCCCACAAAATGTTTTAAGTAGCAGAGCTCGTTGGTGTGTAGGTATTCTCTTAGCTCGTCTCCCCACTTCCTGTAATGACCTCCTCCTGACGGGCTTTCCACATAGCAGCCAGCAGGATCTACCATTCTTACGGTTCCTCATTGAACTTTCAGTCCAAATCTCTTTCCTTGGTATATAGGGACCCTAAATTATGGTCCCCTCTTCAGGTCGCCAGCTTCCTCTTACGTGCTCTCCCCCAGCTCCTCCCAGCCATTTTAATGTTGGCCTACTTGCGGTGTCTCAAACTCCCATGCTCTTTCCCGCCCTAGCACTCTGTCTGTGGGCTCTTCGCAAGGCTGGCTTCTTTCATACTCACGGATCAGTTTACATCTGGGCCCAGGAAAGGGGGCCCTGTATCAGTACCTTGTTTGTTTTCTTCATAATACTTAACACAGTTTCATTTCCTTTTTCTTCATCTACCCCACTAAGGTGTAGGCTCTGTGTTTTGCTCGCTCTCCTGTACACCAGTGGGGGAGGAAGGGCTAGTGCAGTGCGTCGCATTTACTTGTGGAATGAAAATTTTTTAAATGATTAATAAAACTGGCGTATCTACAGTTGATTCCAGTGGTCTTTTTAGCTCTTTAATGTGTTTCCAATCTGTCTATTCTGCTATAAATATTCACTCTAAGGGGAAACAAACTCTTACTATAATTCATTGGATAATCTCTTACCTTGCTCTCCAGTTGTTCCCGGCTCTTATGAAGTCTTACCGTCTTATCTCTGCTCCTCCCTACCCCTTCAACATGCCAACTAGATGGTAAATTCCCACTTTAAAGAGGCAGGATAAGTAGCCTAGGAAATTGACCACCCTTTCCAGGATACAACTGAGGTGCCTCAAGAGTTACACAAGTAGCAAGTGACTGTATCTGACACTTGCAGCTGGAGGAAAACAAGAAACAGTTTCATCCAGCAAGGCTAATCCCTATGCCCTGGACCTGACCTTTGGCTAATGTTAATGTCATTATAATCTTATTTGCATTGAGTTACTATGACTCCCAGGATGCATCTGTTGCCATGACAGTTTTGGAGAAACCAAATAAGGAAGAAAAGCGGGAAACTGAGGAGGTACATCAATGGAATGTCACCAAGCCCTACCCTGGGAGGGATAAAAACTTCCAGTAGGGACTTCCTGTGCGGGACTGAGTTCACCCACACTTCCCCCTCTCTCATGTATGTACTTTCATTTCAGTAAGCTCCCCGTGTGTCCCTATGTCTGTCTCGCTCTTGAATTCTTTCTTGCGTGGAGACCAGAAGCTGGTCACCACTGCTCCTGGTTCAGTCCTGTCTTGGACATCCCATGAACCTCCAGTGACACTAAGAATGTTTTTTTGTTTTGGGTTTTGTTTTTGAATCCACCCCCCTTCAGCATCTCCCATGGCTAGTCACAGAACAAGGTATTCAAAGGCGGTTGGTTGATTGGTTCCCGTAGGAGGCACCAAATCCTTGGTGTGAGTCATCATGGTGCAATACACGGCTGTGCATTTATTAGTAATTGGTGGTAAGGAAGCTGGAGACAATAACTCATCAAATTAGAATATACCCAACTCACTGCATATCTCAATTCAATTTTTTAAATATCTCAGCCCCAGGTCAACAAATCACAATGCTGAAAATTCCTACATGTTATGGTAGGGAAAATACCTGCCAGTTTTAAGGTTCTGCTCTGTGAACATGGGCAGTAGTCACAGTTATTTCTCCAGCAATGCCATAACTTCCTAAGGGAGCATGTGTGTCGCCAGACCCTGAACCGCTTTTGGCGACACCTTCTACTGGGAAAGCAACAGAAAGAAAAGCTGGGCTTTGTGGCCTGGGGACATCTTGTCCACTTGTAGGAGCACTAGCATTCTGGAGTTTGGGGGGGTGTTTCTGGCATTTCTGATCTGCAGGAACTGCAATGGGAACTTGGACTGCAGCACATCTCTTCAAGGGATCTGCCTGGGAGACCACAGCATGTCCAGGAAGAGGTTTCCAATCCTGCGCTTCCTGAACATTTGAGCCTACTAGAATAAAAGGCGGGGCACTGGTCTTCTTGCCGTCATCCATCATCACATAAACTGGAGAAGTAACTTTCGGTGGATGCTGCAGAAACTGTGGATCATTAGGATTAGGTAAATAGAGGGTTGCTTGGGGGGAAAGGCCCAGGAGCAGGTGGCGGTGATGGGCGACTTAGTTGATTCATATCAGTTAGACAATAAAGGGTCCACATGTTAGAATATGGTGGTGCTTGTCCTGCTTCGCTTGTTGCTATTGCTATAAAAAAGAATTTGCAGGCATTAAAGAATTGGTCTGTGTACCAGGTGCTATGCACAGAAATGTCTGTGTAATTTTTTTACATATAAAACAGCTGTAGTAATGTGTTGCATAAAGTATGCTATAGAGAGGGCCAAGTAAATTGTGTTTGGTAATGTGAAACAAGAGATTCTCTACAGTTGGAAAATGAGAAGTGTTGTGATAGCAACTGGCAAGGACACAAGTGATGGCTGAAGAAGCAATCTCGTTCTAAGTTGCTGTTTCCAGATACTTAAACTTTAGACATGGCTTCTTCAGGGTCCTCCAGAGGAAATGGAAATTCAACTCTATTGGCTTTACCCCAAAAAATCAATTGAGTGTGTTAAATATTGAAAAAAGTGTAAATGCAGCTGCACAGCGATTTTTTTTTTAAGTTTCAGGTGTAGAAAACCACATAATGATCAGACATTTACACCCCTCATAAAGTGATAACCCCACCAAGTCTACTACTACTACCACCGCTCTGACATCCTACATAGCTATTACAGTACTGTTAATTATATTCCCCATGCTGTACTTTACATCCTGGGACTATATATAATCTGCACATTGGGTTGTCGGAAAAGTCATGACGTATTTTTTCTATTTTTCGTTGCAAAATGCGTCATGACTTTTCCAACAATCCAATATATTTACATACATATTTAATTATAGTTGACGTTCAGTATTATTCTACATCAGCTTCAGGTGTACAGTGCAGTAGTCAGGCATCTACACAATCTATGAAGTGGTCTCCCCAATAAGTCCAGTACCCTCTGACACTCTATATAGTGTTTACAACATTACTGATTATATTCCCCATACTTTGTTTCATATCCCTGTGACTATTTTGTGACTACCAATTTGTACTTTCTAACCCCTTCGCCTTTCTCATCCATCCCCAAACCCCCTCCCATCTAGCAGCCATCAGTATGTTCTCTGGATCTATGAGTTTATTTCTGTTTTGTTTGCTCATTTATTCTGGCCTTTAGATTCCACACATAAGTGAGATCATATGGTATTTGTCTTTCTCAGTCTGACTTATTTCACTTAGCATAATATCCTGTAATTCTATCCATTGTTGTTGCAAATGGTAAGATTTTATACTTTGTAATGGCACAGTAATACTCCATTGTATAAATGTACCACAATTTCTTTATCCAATTGCGTATTGATGGACATTTTGGTTGTTTCCATGTCTTGGCTATTGTGCACAGCACAGCAATAAACATAGGGGTGTATATATTTTTTTGAATTAGTGTTTTGGATTTCTTTGGATAAATACCCAGGGTGCTGGGTCATAAGGTAGTTCTAGTTTTAATTTTTTGAGGAACCTCCGTACTGTTTTCCATAGTGGCTACACCAATTTGCAAGCCCACCAACAGTGCACAAGGGTTCCCTATTCTCTACATCCTCGCCAACACTTGTTTGTTGCTTTATTGATGATAGCCATTCTGACCGGGGTAAGGTGGTATCTCATAGTGGTTTTTATTTGCATTTCTGTGATGATCAGTGACATTGAGCATCTTTTCCTGTCTGTTGGCCATTTGTATGTCCTCTTTGGAAAAATGTCTATTCATGGCCTCTGCCCATTTTTTTAATTGGACTGTGTTTTTGATGTTGTATGAGATTTTATAAAGTTTGAATATTAACGCCTTATCAGATGTATCATTGGCAAATATCTTCTCCCATTCAGTAGGATGTCTTTGTTTTGTTGATGGTTTCCTTTGCTGTGAAAAGTTTTTAGTCTGATGTAGTCCTATTCATTTTTTTTTCTCTGTTTCCCTTGCCTGAGGAGGGAGATGCATCAGTAAAAATATTACTAAGGGCAGTGTCTGCAAGTTTTCTTCCTATATTTTCTTCTAAGAGTTTTATGGTTTTGGGTCTTACATTGAAGTCTTTAATCCATTTTGATTTTATTGTATATGGTGTAACGTGGTCCACTTAAAAAAAATTTTTTTTGCATGTATCTGTTGTTTTCCTAGCACCATTTATTAAATAGACTGTCTTTACCCCAATGTAAATTCTAGCTTCTTTTGTCATAGATTCAATGACCATGTAGGCATGGATATATTTCTGGGTTCTCTATTCTGTTCCATTGTTGTGTGTGTCTGTTTTTATGTCAGTACTATGCTGTTTTGGTTACTGTAGACTTGTAGTATAATTTGATATCTGGTAGCGTGATACCTTCAGCTTTGTTGTTCTATTGATTTCCATGGCTTTTGGGGGGGTCTTGCAATTTTAGGATTATTTGTTCTAGTTCTGTGAAAAATGCCATTGGTATTTTGATAGGGATTGCGTCGAATCTATGGAGGGTGCCAAAAAAATTATACACATTTTAAGAAAGGCTAAAACTGTATTAAGATTGTAATAATAAATACCAATAACAAAAGAGGAATACAAGTCACGTGTATAAATTTTTTTGGCACCCCCAGTATATATTGCTTGGGTAGTATAGACATTTTAACTATATTAATGCTCCTTACCCATGAGCATGGTATATGTTTCTATTTATTTCTATCTTCTTTAATCTCTCTCTTAAATGTCATAATTTTCTGAGTACAGGTCTTTTACTTCCTTGGTTAAATTTATTCCTAAGTATTTTATTTTTTTGATGCAATTGTAAATTGGATTGTTTTCTTAATTTCTCTTACTGATAGTTTGTTATTGGCGTATAAAAATGCAACTGATTTCTGAATACTAATTTCATATCCTGCTACTTTACTAAATTCATTTATCAGTTCTAATAGTTTTTTTGTAGGATCTTTGGGGTTCTCTATATATAGTATGTCATCTGCAAATAATGACAATTTTACTTCTTCCTTTCCCATTTGGATGCCTTTTATTTCTTTTTCTTGTCTGATCGCTGTGGCTAGAACTTCCAGTATTGTGTTGAATAAAAGTAGTGAAAATGGTCATCCTTGTCTTGTTCCTTATCTTAAGGGGAATGCTTTTTGCTTGTCCCCATTGAGTATGATATTAGCTTTGGGTTTGTCATGTATGGCCTTTATTATGTTGACATATATTCCTGCCATTCCCACTTTGCTGAATTTTTTTTCATAAATGGATGCTGGATTTTTTTCAAATGCTTTTGCTACATTTATTGATATAACCATATGATTTTTATTTTTCATTTTATGTGGTGTATCACATTAATTGATTTGCAGATATTGAACCAATCTTGTATACCAGGAATGAATCCCACTTGATCGTGGTATATGATCTTTTTAATGTTTTGCTGAATTTGGTTTGCCAATATTTTGTTGAGGATATTTGCATCTATGTTCATTAGGGGTATCGGTCTAAAGGGGTTTGTTTGTAATATCTTTATCTGGTTTTGGGATTAGGGTAATATTGGCTCATAAAATGAGCTTGGGAGCCTTTCCTCCTCAGATTTTTTGGAATAGTTTGAGAATTGGCATTAATCCTTTTTTGAATGTTTGGTTAAATTCACCTGTGAAACCATCTGGTTCAGGACTTTTGTTGGGAGCTTATTGATTACTGATTCAATTTCTTGGTAGTAATCAGTCAGTTCACATTTTCTGTTTCTTCTTGATTCAGCCTTGGAAGATTATATGCTTCTAGGAATTTGTCCATTTCTTCCAGATTCTCCACTTTGTTGGCGTACAGTTGTTTGTAGTATTTTCTTAAAATTTGTTGTATTTCTGTGGTGTTGGTTATCACTTATCCTCTTTCATTTCTGATTTTATTTATTTGGGTCCTCTCTTTTTTACTTTATGAGGTTGGTTAAAGGTTTGTCAATTTTGTTTATCTTTTCAAGAAGCCAGCTCTTGGTTTCATTGATCTTTTGTATTGTTTTTTAGTCTCTATTTCATTTATTTCTGTTCTGAGATTTATCATTTCCTTCTGTGTACTCACTTTGGGCTTAATTTGCTGTTCTATTTCCAGTTCCCTTACCTGTAAAGATTTAGACTGTTGGTTTGAGATTTTTCTTGTTTCTTTAGGTAGACCTGCATTGCTATGTATTTTCCTGTTAGGACTGCTTTCACTGCATCCCATAGATTTTGGGTCATTATGTTTTCATTTTCATTTGTCTCAAGGTAGCTTTTGATTTCTTCCTTGATCTCACTGTTGACCCACTTGCTATTTAGTAGCATGTTATTTAGTCTCCATGTGTTTGTGGCTTTCATTTTTTTTTCTTGTAATTGATTTCTAGTACCACTGTGGTCAGAAAAGACGTTTAATATGAATTCAGTCTTCCTAAATTTATGGAGGCTTATTTTGTGGCCTAACATATGGTCTATCTTGGAAAATGTTCCATGTGCTCTTGAAAAGAATGTATATTCTGCTGCTTTGAGATGAAATGCTCTAAAAATGTCAAGTAAATCCATCTGATCTAGTGTGTCACTTAAGGCTGCTATTTCCATGTTGATTTTCTTTCTGGGAAGTCTGTCCATTGGTGTCAGTGGGGTGTGAAAGTCCCCTACTATGATTGTGTCACTGTTGATATCTGCCTTTATGTCAGTGAATATTTACTTTATAAATTTTGGTGCTCCTATGTTAGGTGCATAGATATTTACTACGGTGATGAACTCTTGTTGGATTGACCCTTTTATTGTTATGTAATGTCCTTCTTTGTCTCTTATTATAGTCTTCATTTTAAAGTCTATTTTGTCCAATATAAGTGTTGCTACTCCAGCTTTTTTCTCATTTCCACTTGTGTGAAATATCAGTTTCCATCCTTTTACTTTCAGTCTGTGTGTGTCTTTCAGTGTGAGCTGGGTCTCTTGTAGACAACATATGCATAGGTCTTGTTTTCTTATCCATTCAGCTACCCTATGTCTTTTGATTGGAACATTTATTTAATCCACTTATATTTAAAGTATTAATAGGTACATAGTTACTGACTTTTTTTATTCATATTTTTTATCTTCATTTGTTTTTTCCTTTCTTCTGCTTAAAGAAGTCCTTCCAACATTTCTTGTAATACTGACTTGGTGGTAATGAATTCCTCTAGCTTT